CTGTGCTGGCTAGATCAGGCCTTTGTTTGTTGAGTTATACGACAAACAAACTGCATGAGTTATATGCAAGGTGAAACTGGTATTATTCGTAACTGATTGTATGAGATCAACTCTTGATTATGAACCTATCTCACCTGATTCGGGACAACTGCGTTGGCCTACCTTTCACAAGCTTGCCATTCTTGTTTTCAAGTGAAAGTGCTCCCTGTCCACCTAATGATACCGATAATTCCTTCATGTAGTCGAATACCAGGTTCTCTCTGACTAATGACAAAGATTGTGTGTTTAAAACACAAAACAGCTATATAATGTGCGCATAAGAGTATGACCGTGACGGGGTGGCTCCATGTTAGTTCCGAGTAGATAGTGATATCACTGTCCGTTCTTGAACCCAGACGACTTTAATGGCTCATCCGGAAGGATGATAACATTTGTGGAGATATGAGGTGTGCCGAATCGTAAAAATAACGTCCATTTTTTCCTGTTTTTATAAGAATATTGATTGGCATTTTACCAGTTACATGTGTGAGATATATTTTGTCTGTAATGAAACAGACTGTTATCTATATGTATCAATTTTGGGTTCTTTTACAGAAGCAGGACAATATTCAGATATCTTTAAACTGATATTTTTTAGTTTTCGTCATTGGTGGAGTACCTAACAAAGGCAAGATGATATTCACTTCTTGTTTCTGACATCATGCATGTTAACTATAACAATATAATGCTGAATGTTGTCCATGAAAAAACACCAATGTACTGCTGACCGTTTCGCCTACAACTTGCAAATAATCAACTCACGGCTCCCAATAAGCATAAATCTACTTTCAGTTCAAATATCTACTGACATGCCAAGTTAAATCAATGGTCAGGTACACTTTAAGCACTGATTTCTAAGAAAGGCCGTGTGACGAAGCCATGGGTTAAGCTCTGGCATGGATTTTCTGCGAGTAGTGTATTTCTGTCACATATCTAAAAATGCTTCCGATGTATAAAATAACTGATGCCCTTTATAATATCATATAAAAGAAATGAATAATATATAAAACTAGCAGGAGATTGCATCAATTTTGTCAGTAAATAGGTTTCAATATATACACAGATAACTTTCAGAGGTTGTGTATCATCAATTAATCCAATCCCTGTCTCTGCTGTTGTCAATTTTGAAGTGCAGGACATGGATGTTAGCAGCGCCAGTAAAATACACTAAACGCCAAAAGAAACGTTACCCTCCTCCCTTAAAGACGGAGGTACCTATCTTCAGCTGACGTTGTGATGCGTGGACGTCCATTTCTTGGTCTGTCAACGGTGATCCCAGTCTGTCTGAAGCCCTGAACAAGTCTTATAACCATGAAACGGTGGCATCCGAGGGCCCTGCCAACAGCATTGTATGTCGACCTCACCTGCACCATTACAATGGCTCTTGCTCTCTTCAGCTGTTAATCGTGGCGGGCGGTGGGGTAGCCTAGTGGTTAAAGCGCTGGCTCGTCACGCCGAAGAGCCGGGTTCGATTCCCCACATGGGCATAATGTGTGAAGCCTATTTCTGGTGTCCCACGCTGTGATATTGCTTGAATATTGCTAAAAGCGGCGTACAACTAAACTCAGTCAGTCAGTCAGTTAATCGTGGTATATTTCTTGTACTTGTGTATCGTATCATCCATTCTAGGCTGTCTTTATACCCAACAGAATCATTCTACATGTGAAATGGATGCAAATACTGCTTGAATATTGCTGCGTTTTGACGATTGATGTTGCTATGTATAAATAGAAAATGGAAAAATGTTACTTTGCAAGCAAAATGTTTATCAAAGATAATTTTAGATGTTAAGGAATGTGAATCAAACATTTCTCATTATAGAGTAAAAACGAACTATCAGTTTGCAACTTATGTCACATCACCCCGCACGACATACTATCAACCGTCACTTGACGTGTTGATTGGGCGAGAAGTGGAATTTTCAGGTTTTCCCTCGACCGGACAGTGGTTGCAACAGAAGTTAATGTTAATTGTTCCACCATAGATTGGGGCAGAGAATATTGAGTTTACAAACTCAGAACGAGCAGAAGTTGGTGTCAGTGATCTGCTAGCAGTGACTGCATTGGATTGAGACGGCATGGTTTGCGGAAGGGCAAGGTCACCATCATAAGAAATGACGTTACTCAGCTGACGGTGTTGTACAGTTGTGATACTAGAGTGATTGTTTACGCTCTGCATGTTTTTGTGTCCCGAAATCTGCATTATCTCAGTCCCAGCAACACCAACGGAGCGAAGAGATTGAATCATGGTCTTTCTAGCTGAATGGTTTGTTAAACATTTGCCAGTAATGCCAACTGAACTAGCCATTCTCATCATTATAGAACCACGTTTATTTTTGCCAACGGGGCTGCGTTTAAACCAAGGATGGTTAATATCTTTTGGAACTAACTTTGAATTTGTGGCCAAATAGAAAGGCGTGTCAGGAGAGCAGTAATCTCTAGGACGAAGACTGGCGTACAACTTGAACAGCATTCGTGACCAACTCGTGTTATTCCGGGACAAGCCGATTAGCGAATCGTGCCCCTCTGGAAGAATTTCATATTGGCGTAGGAACATCAGAACTACTTCAAACAGGAACGATATATTCCTGTTTCATTCCAATGGTACTTAATTTCACCGAAGTACTCATACATTGTATTGCTGTTTTTGGTTTTGCTATTTATTCTAAAGAATTAAACCTCCTTGGTACAACTAAAAGATAGGGAAAAAAACATATTAGTTAAAGACATATTCTGACGTAATTATTACCAGATATTCGCCTTATATTCCCAATTATATTTCTGAAAAGGGTTTAATAATCACAAAAGGGATTTGTTTTATTGAATATGCAAATAAAATTTGTAAACAAAACCCCGCAACATTAAATCCCAAAGCAGAAACTCAAAAAATGACTTTTATAATATTTCTCAAACTGAACATACCTGTAACCTTGCTGTCATACCACAAGTGGACTTTTAACTGAATTCTCTGAAAAATATATGAATGACCACAAGAAGGTCAGACTAAAATATTCCCAGAGATGTGAAATATGTGCCGAATGTTAAACATTAAAGTTGATTAGTTACATACAGATATAATATTATTGTTTTGAAACACGTAGCGATTTAAAATTACATTTCCTAAAATTGTTGGAAGCGCACGTACAATTTTCATAGCAAGCCCGCAAGATCGTCATAAACACCCTCATTTGGACCAATGAGAGCCGTTATGTCAACAAACGCACGTGCGTGTATTTGAATCTCTCGCCGTCAATCGCATGATTCTTAACAAAAACACCATAATAGGCAGCGAAATCCTGTTAGCTAAGTTCTTTGTACTTTCAATATATATATTTTTCATGATTTTTTAAACAATGACATAATGTCATTAACGATTTAAGTACTCAGGATTATTTTTACCAAAGCACAGCGATCATTTACGCGCGTTCTGATTGGTTTGTCGTATTTTCGCACATAACAAGCATCGAGAGGGGGACAAGTCTTCTTGCAGGTTACGGAAAGGGGCGAGTGGTGACGAATGCTTGAACAGGGATACGGGACAGCTAGCGTCGTTAATGGCCCATGCACGGGGAGCGACGTCTCCGACGTTGCGGATGTCATTGCTGGTGCGGGTTTTGGTTTGGCGTTCATTATACTCCAAAAACTCCTCTCAATCAGAATTTGTTTTCACTTGAATGTCTCCTCATCTCATCAAGTGATGTGGTTTAACACTTCGGATGCCAAAATGCCTGGTATTGTTCCACCACAATGTGTTTTATATCGCCTCTGGATTACTAGGACCTAATTTTCCGAAATCGTCTAGAGTGTTTGGATTTCCCCCTGGTGGCAGACTTCCAGCCCTATTAGGTACGTTGCCGAGCCCCTCACGCTTCAGGATCTGTAGTTGGTAGAACCTCGCGTAGTTTGGAGAATTCCCTGTCATTCAGTAACGACCTTTCCCAACCCCTAGCTTTCAAATATCTGTCAAAACTCGACAGTTTTGATGTAAGTGAGATGGACTCATAACCCTCGCCGTAAGATTTCTTTACTTCAATGAAAAAGGTGCACAAAATGTCATACAGTTCTGGCGGGGGTATTGTTTCAACTGGTCTTGTGTCGCCATTTGACTTCATGAACTTCAATGTTCAATGGTTGAGCAATCATAGTTGAAAGAACTTTCATCATTTACCTCCTCAAAGAAGTAATATCTTTCATCAATACTTCCAAAATATCCTCCGGTAGGGAAAGCTAATCATAGTTAGTCGGAGGGGCCAATGATACAGTTTCAGGAACCACAGTAAGTCTGTGTCTGTGTACTTGACTTATTTCGCCATCCAAATTTTGACATTGAAAACAATGAATGTACCGAGAGGTTTAACGATGGTAGTGACTCTCCATCGGATTGTTCCATCGATTTTGACGGAGTCATTCACACAGCAGACGAACTTTTATTTATTAGCAAAAACTGTAAAGTATCTAGAATTTGTGATTGAAAGGTATACTCATGTTCTTGTAGATTTAATATTCAACATTTGTGTTTTTGTAATATTTTCCAGCAATCACGATCATGTGATTGACGGAGTAATTGACGAAGTAAAAATTGTAGAATGAATGAATTCACGTGTTTGTTATGAATAAGAAAGTAGTTCCGTCACAACATGACCTAATTGAGTGGTCATCGGTTATCCAGTCAAATCGTTATAATGCCAGGTCAAATCATTACGACACGGGTCAACGCAATACGAAACTCGTGTGACGTACGAGAATAATATGCACCTACCCATATGAACACGTGGGTAATAAAGTTAATGACATGTTTATCTACAACTAAAATACAGGCTACACATATTTACGGATAATCAGTCGACATGTGTGTTGTTTTGATAGCAAAGACACAACTCTCACATGGAGGGCACATAAAATGGAGGAGAAAATACCATTAAACTAGGTGGGTGTATGTACACACTCTGTACTTTATTTCAGTCTGAACATGAGTCCTAAATTCAGCCCCATGGAGATTGTAGAGAGAGCCAAGTCCATTGTCGGTCCCAGGAATCCTGATGGACCGGTGGACATTGTGTTCTGGTGCTGCACAGACATGACATTGGACGAGGTAGGTGGATATTGAGACCCTCTGATCCTAATAAGAGCTGACCGTACACTGACCTTCTTACCTTATCGATCGAGAGTGGTCATGGCGTGGATGGTGTTGGTCAGTATGTTTCATCAATGTCACCACTGCTCTACCTGTATCCCTATCTTTATATACAAATGTATATTTGTTCCAATCGTGTCTCCGCTCTACCTGTTTAGAAACGACATGTACTATTATTATTATTATTATGATTATAGGATATTTATATAGCGCACATATCCACGCACTAGTGCATGCTCAAGGCGCTGGTATTTTTTCCCTCGATCATTGGATGTCAATCTCAACGGCACATCGCATTATCAATCTCAACTCCCTGGGGAGTATACAACTCTTGCAGCCACTAGGCGCACCGAGTTATTGTGGCTTTCTCATCCTAACGAGGTACCCATTCACAGCTGGGTAGACTGGGACACAGACTATATTGATGGTCTAAAGCTCATTCCGTTCATCTCTGCTTTACGTTCTGAACGAATGATTGAAACCCAGCTATGTTCTACATTTCAGTAGATAAAGTTCATGTTCCAGACCCGAAGAAATACTTATGCTATGTGTAATAAATTTTCACTCATTCAGTCTCTCCAAAAGAGCAAGAATGTGCTCATTTTCGTCAGTACGATGAGAATTTCTAGTGTAATTTCAAGGCCCATTTCGAGAGTAACGGTATGGTATTTGAATGATACCTCACTGCGTTGTAGCACGTTGTGTCGTGAAGACAGCATACAACTTTTGTTCTCCTACCTCCTTGATATATCTGTTTAGCATGATGCTGTTACTGTCGGCGCTTACCAAAAAACATGTGTCCTCTGTTTCAGTGGGTCGTATGCAATGAAGTACACGCCACAAATCCTGAAATTGTGCGTCTACGAAGTCTGAATGCCGCCCACTCAGTTCCGTTCCCGACCAATTGACAGACAATGCCTGACCATTGATCACACTACAACTCGCCGACTGATGATCTCCTGTGAATGAGACTTATAAAGAATGAAGCATTGTATCTGATACACAATGAAGGTGTATTTCAAACATTTGGCTGGTGTTTCTAGCATGTAATTTCAAGTTGGGTGTTTTTAGCTGATTGAATTTCTCTACTGTGTGTTTTAATATATATATATATAAATCTAATTCTGGTTCACTGATGCATGCTTGACGTCTACATAAGTGCGTGCCATGTCAAGTAAACAATGTAAAACCCTCAATCAGCTCGTCTATTAAATTATTAAAATGATGGTTTGTTTTCTGTTTCATTAATTTGTAAATATCGTTTATTATTCGTGTCCCATCTATTCAGTATCCATATGGATTCAATATATTTTCGTGTACAGAAATCTGTTGTCTGATCTAGTTTGATGCAGATCGCTCCCGTAGTCAAATGGATGTAGTGTTGGCCGAGAGCGGAAGGTCGGTTGTTCACACCAAATGTCGTAAAGAGATTTAGTTAATTTACTGCCTTGTGCTATACATTAGTTTGTTAGAGGATGAGACACGATTTGTGTCTTAATGGCGCCATGATATCCGAGTTGGATGGCACTGTATATGAAGCTAGCATTGTCTTTGTGTACAAACACACACAGACAAGAGCACACACCCACACGTGAAAGTGCAGTTTGCCTGAATCCCCACCCATCCCTTACGATATATTTGATATCACAAAACGAAACAATGCAATAGGGAATTATTGGTGTATGTATCTCATTCGTACATACTACCATGCTTCTTGTGATATTCTTTTGTGAATAATCCTTGTCTATATTTCATTTGATGACTCAAGTGATTGTTAATAGTTTGTCCGCTTAATCTGTTATTGAAGTAGAGTGAGTGAGTGAGTGATAAGATGAAGTTGGAAGAAAATTTCTCTGTTTAAAGGTAGCTAACAAGTTGCAACAAAATATACTGTTTGCAATATAGCAATAAAGGTTTTTTGAATTTTTACCCCATTATTCATGGGGTCGCTCTGCTGACCGAGTTCTGACTGTAAACGAAACATGGACTCTACTCACCTTTGGACAACCCAGTTTTCTGGTCGACCATATTGTGTTTACCTTTACACTACAAGCTAAGCTTTGAGGCGACATGTGTATAGTGTTAAGTGGATCATAGACTGCGTATCTCCAAAGTAAGCTTTGAGGCGAGATGGATCCATATTGTGTGGACTATAGACTGCATATCTGCAAGCTAAGGTTCGAGGCGAGATGGGTATAGTGTGGATCATAGACTGCATATCTCAAAGCTACCTTGAGGCGAGATGGATCCATATTGTGTGGACTATATCTCCAAGCTTAACCCTTGAGGCAAGAGGATTATTATTGGGACCATAGACTGCATATCTCCAGTCACGATATGGTGATGTCAGGTTAAATGTTAACCACTCACTGCATATCTCCAAGCTACCTTGAGGCGAGAGGGGTATAGTGTGGACCATAGACTGCATATCTCCAAGCTAAACCTTGGGGCAAGAGAGGTAAAGTGTGGACCATAGACTGCATATCTCCAAGCTACCTTGAGGCAAGAGAGGTAAAGTGTGGACCGTAGACTGCATATCTCCAAGCTACCTTGAGGCAAGAGAGGTAAAGTGTGGACCATAGACTGCATATCTCCAAGCTACCTTGAGGCGAGATGGGAATAGTGTGGACTATATATCTCCAAGCTTAGTTGAGGAGAGAGGATTATTATGGGGACCATAGACTGCATATCTCCAGTCATGATATGCCGATGTGACGTTAAATGTTAACTCACTCACTCACTCGCATATCGCCAAGCTACCTTGAGGCGAGGGGGGTATAGTGTGGACCATAGACTGCATATCTCCAAGCTAAACTTTGAAGGGAGAGGGGTATAGTGTGGCCCATAGACTGCCTATCTCCAAGCTACCTTGAGGGGAGAGGGGTATAGTGTGGACCATAGACTGCATATCTCCAAGCTAAGCTTCGTGGGGAGAGGGGTATAGTGTGGACCATAGACTGCATGCCTCCAAGCTAAGCTTCGTGGAGATAGGGGTATAGTGTGGACCATAGACTGCATATCTCCAAGCTAAGCTTCGAGGGGAGAGGGGTCTACTTTGGATTATAGACTTCATATCTCCAAGCTAAGCTTCGATGCGACATGGGTATTTTTGTGAATTTGGAGGCCGTGGCCGAACAGAACACAAAATACCGTGGCTTCTACGTTGAGCGTTTACTCAGAAAGTGGGGGTCCCTAAGGGACACAACTCCATTCAGCTTGCCGCTACCGTCACATAAGGCTACAGGAGTTGTCTCCTATATATATGTATATATATATATATATCTACCATACATGTCCATACACACCACCATTCCCCCCTTTGTTTTCACCGCTGAAAACTGACTGGTTAACACAACTGCAACATTGAAAACTTACTAGAAGCAAACTCTTCCTTTTAAACAAATTACAGTCTTTAGCAGGAAATTTAAATGTCCATATTCTCTTTCAAAGGGAAATAGCCTAATTTGGGCGCATAATATACTGAACCGCCAAAGAAACGTAAGTTGATTTAGAAATGTCAATATTTCTGAATCTGTGGAACAAACAATCTTAACACTACGAAAGAACAACAGAAAAGTGATTGTTGAAGAAATGAGTCGTGATCTCTGGTGAAAACAACACTCAAGTTTACTGTAAAAGCATATGTTATCACTCCACCCTCACACACCAAAAATGTCACGAAACAGTGTGTCAATCAGTAGCGCGTGTGACCACCATTGGCTGCAATGCAGGCAGCACAACGACGTCTCATCGAGTCAACAAGTGTCTGAAAGAAGGCTTGGGGAATTTGATTCCATTCCCTGACCTATCTGGCTTCCAAATCTCTAAGGTTTTGAGGTTGAGCAGCTGTCTGTATCCGTCTATCAATTTCATCCCACACATGCTCGATTGGTGTCATATCCGGGGACAGAGAGGGCCAGGGCAGTACAGCAATGTTGTTCCCTCTGAGGAAGTCCATAGAGACCCGTGCAGTGTGAGGACGAGCAGTCACAAGTTGACGAAACACGTGTAAACGTGTTCTGTGGTGGTAGCTGAAGCCACCCTATACCATGAGACTTCCACCTCCCCAGCGGTCAGCTTCCACAACACAACAGTTGGCGTAACGTTCATTACGTCGTCTCCATAAACGTAATCGGCCATCGGCGTGGGACAAGTTGAATCTGGACTCATCAGAAAACAACACTTGTTGCCATTGTTGACGTCGCCTACGCTGGTGTTGTCGCGCCCACTGTAAACGATTTCGGAGGTGACGTTGCGTCAGAATCGGTCCGACGTCAGGACGGCGACATTTGATCCCTGCTGCCCTCAGACGACGACTAACAGTGTCTGCAGAGATGTGACGTTGTGGCCCTTGAATGGTTGCAGCTGTCAGTGTTGCTCGTTGCTGTCGGTTACGCAGATGAGTAACCCGGATGTCACGATCTTGCGCTGGCGTTGTTACCCTGGGACGTCCTGAACGTGGTCGGTCTCGAACATTACCGGTTTGACGATACCTTGCAGATAGTCTTGTGATTGTTGTCACGTGACATCTGAAGTGCCTGGCCACTGCAGTTGGTGTGGATCCGGTCTGCAACATTCCAACAGCGATTCCTCGTTGCTGTTTAGTTAGACGTGGCATGTTTTCTCCGTGTTGACACAGTCAATTTTGTGTTTTATGGTGTTTTTTGAATGACCTGCCTTATAAAGCTTCAAATTGGAGTGAAATGCACGCATTTTTGTGTGAAGCACAAAAACTTCATGCAAAAAAACCGAAAAACTTGAAAATGATTGCGTTTGGGCGATATGGTCAAGAATAAGCGGCAACAACGGCAAAACCATCTTCGAATGCTTGGTTCTATAATGGTATACTTTGTTGTCCTAAAAGGAATGCATTTGGAACGTATGTTTTGAAAATAGTAACTTGCGTGTCTTTTGCTGTTCAGTATATGTTTGTGCCTGCATGTGTACAGTATGGTGATAAACCCAGTGTTACGATAAACACATCATCACTCTGATGCTGAAAACCTGGTGAAAGCACAACCGATATTTTCACTCAACATACATGCAAATGAACCTTAAAGTGATAGATAAAAAATCCCTGAAATACAAGTGTATATATTCGTATCAAACAAATTAATCATACGAACATCAACGTTCCCTGCTCGTTGGGCAACTTTGCAGACTGTCCTGATGATGCATATCGCCTACTATGAATATTCTATCTCTACATGCAACATCTGAAGTAACCTTAAATTGATATACAGTGAAAGCCCTCTAAACCGGCATTGGTTGGGACCGCCAAAAATGCCTGTACAGAGAACGTGTCGGTTTGGAGAACTTTTCTTAAATGAACTAGTTTCTACCGGGACCAAATTTTAGTGCCGATATTGAGAGCATGCCGGATTCGAGGGCTGCCCGTTTAGAGGGCTTCCACTGTAATAATAAAACTACAGGCCCGTGGTTTCCAATCAAAAACATTATCCAGGTACACCAGGTGCCCACATTGAGTGTTAGCTGAGCAAGCATAACATGCCACACCACCCACACGGGCTCTTCACTCAGAACATGCATACATAGCAGCTGTTTACAACAGACAATATGAATAGTGAAAACACTCATCTGATTGTATCTGTTTTACTGGTCCTAAATACTTTTGACACACCGTTACTTACATGTTGTTGTTTCAGTGTGTTTGTTTGTTGTCTGTTTTCTAGTATTTTCGTTTTGGACTGGTTTATTTTGTACTTATTTATCTCTAATATCTTGTACAGTAGTCAGTAGATGTCTCGGGGGATTTTCATAATGTCTTAGGATACAAATTAAATTGTAAATAACGTTCTAGTACTTCGACTTATTTATACATTTCTTCCAATGGCTAAGGTCGTGCTGAAGTTATTTACTGTTTACTCTTCTCGTATCTCAAATGTTTCACAAAATGTTTTATCTTACTTCATGAAGCATATTTCTCAAGCAGCACTTCCCACTGCCTCCAACTTCATATTGTATGCAAGACAGATCGACGGGGGTTGATAAAACTCGGTATAAGATGGCAGTTTGGGTTGTTGCTGCTATTACCTCCAGTAGAAACGGCAAACGGCAAACCGTTTTGATTGGTTTACATGTTGCTGCATAGTCTTATGCATATGTTCAGGTGCACGCTACTTTGTATTGATTTCTTTATTACTAATATGATGTGGAGATGTACATCCACATCCGGGCCCAGATCATAGTATTATCCATTTAAA